CGAGCGCCCCCCACCCGCCTCACGGTCAGGCGCCCCCAAAACCCCCGCCGCCGCCGCCCACCCGTGTCGCTCTCCCAGCCGCCCGCGTCGTTGATCGCCTTGATGCGCCACACGCCCGCGGTGCCGTTGAAGTTGAAGAACTGCCCCAGGAACGACCGCGCGCGCTGCTCCACCGCAAAGTGGAACTCCAGCCCGACCTTCTGCGCCCAGGTCAGCAGGCTGTTGCTGTTGGTGAAGGTCCAGCGGGTCTGCACGAACGCGAGGTTGTCGTCGCGCATCATGTGGACGACAGTCTGGTAGAAGAAGTCCTCTGGAGGCTCAAAGTCGGCGTCGAAAATTGCAACGTACTCGAAGCCCTGGTCCTCCACCCGCTTCATGCCGTCGACCATCGCGCCGGCCTTGAAGCCGCTGCGGTTGTCGCGGCGCACGAGCTGCACGTTGTGGCCCTTCTCGAGCGCAGAGATGACGGCGGCGTCGACCTTCTTGCGCACGGCCTCGCGGGTGCTGTCGTCGCAGACCTGCAGGGCGGCGGTTGGTGGCGGTTGGTGGCGGTTGGCGGCGGTTGCAGGGGTGCTGACGGGGCGCCGGCGGCGGGTGGGAGTGCCCAGCGCGGGGAGTGCCCAGCCCGGGACGCCAGCGGCAGCGGCGCGCCGCAATGCGCAATGCAGTCTCAACCGCTGCCCGGCCACTCCGCAGCCCTTGCAACAAAGGACGGGGCCCCGATGCTTCCCTCTCGCTGGCGCTGGCGGGCCTTTACGGGGGCAATCATGACGCGGCCGCGTACGCTCCTCAACCCTGGACACCGACCATGGCGCATGCAGCTTGGCGCGTGATACGGCCTGACGCATGTAGCTAGACACATGACGTGTGCTCCGCGCTGAATATGATTTGCAAAGCAAGCGCCCACCTGGATGAGGATCCTGTGGCTGGGCCACATGACCTTGCAGCAGCGCTGTATGATGAGGTCGCAGTGGGCGTCTTCGTTGTACATCGGAAGCTGAATCATCACCTTGGGGAACTCCCCGCGGTACAGATCCGTCAGGTGGCCGTACTTGCTGGCCCCAGGGACGCCCGATGGCTTGACCGGGTCCGACGGGGCGGTGCCGCGGGTGTCCACGACGATCGCCAGCTCAGCGCCCTTGGCGGCGCCGTTGGCGGCGCCGCCGCGGCTGCTGCCATTTGCGGGTACGGCATGGACGCTGCCGGCCGGTGCGCCGGCGGCGCGCGGTTTGAGGCCGGACAGCTGCTGCTTAGCGTCGGCGGCGCGCTGCCGCCGCTTGGCGGCGCGGCAGGCGGCGGTGCTGATGGGGGGCACAAAGT